CGAGCGGAGCTAGCTGCTAACAGCCACCGCTGCAACTAACAAACTCCACAAATCCATTCAGCAGCTCCACCATCCACAGTCAGACACACACGGCTGATTATTTACTGCTGAATTACAGCTCACAACTCGCACCAACCCAAACATCCTGGTGCAGACTATTTACTGGAGTTTACCAGCCAGTCGCTCATCAGGCATCTGAAGATAATTACAAGCTGTCAGTGTCCGACAGTCCACCACCAACATTTACATCATGTCTCAGCAATGAAAGTGAAACATAGATTTTGATTTGGTTTTATCATCAACATCTATTTTTAGCTCAGCTTGTTTTCTTGATGATAAAAAAGGTTGTTGAAGAAAAAAATTGCGTCATAGATTTGTACAAAATGAAATCATCGTAATTGTTATTATGAAAATCTGTTTTTAGCATGTTATCTTCTTTGTCATGGAAGAAAGGTTGTTGACAAACATTTTTTTGTCACAGTGTTTGTTAATGAAATTAACACAGCTTTACGGCCATCATACAACCAGCGCACTCTTATTAAACAGTTCATATGATATCCTACGAATTTGTGCCCTATGAATGATGTTACGTCCTTAACGTATATTTACGTAAGTAATGTAAAGTTACAGATCTGAACACGTGACTCCGGGGAAAAGTCTGTCTTTTTGTGATCCAACCTGCCTCCTTACAAGCGTTTCCTTGTCTACTGCTGTCAGTGCATTGGTCATGTGATTGCAGACGTGATGATATTAACATGCACCCCTGCTTTATTAATCCCTCGAGTAGAAATTCAGTTTTATATATTTTTTAATATTATCCAAGCAGGAAGCAGTTTTCGTGAGTGTTGTTGGGGATCAAACACGTGCTCTTCAGTTTCTGCAGCAGATTTTTGCTGCTGGAAAAGTTGCAGCTGTTCTGTGTTTGGTCTAATCGTTGATGAATCATGGTCACAGTGATTCACTGGCTGTGATGTAATTTTTATTTATATAACACTTCCTCACTGTGTTCTTTACACTTTCACAGATGATAAAAATCAAACTGGAAAAGGTGAAACTTTCTGAGGATTTAAATGTGCTCAAAAACAAACAGGTAAAGACGTCTTCACATGTTGTTTCTGTGCCTGTGAGACGCTCGGCTGTGTGGGAGCTGCAGTCTGAGTCTCAACACTTCATGAAGATTAATCATGACGTAGTTTGAAGTGAAAGCAGCTGAAGTGTTTCTCTCCAGTGAAGTTTGAGTCCTGAGAGTGAGGTTGAAGCCCTGCAGACAGTTGAGTTGTTGGTTTGTGTTTAATCACTGAAAGCAGTTGAATAGTAACACGTGTCATAGGTTTGGATTTAGTTTGAAAAGTTGCAGCTCCTAATAAAGTTTACTTTTCTTTTTCTTCCTGCGACTCAGTGACCAATGAAATGTTGCCGACTAATGACCTTTCTGGTCGACTAACATTTGGCTCACTAGTATGTACTTCATTAATATTCATACTCACAACAGTGCTGTTGTAACTCCCAGGCTCATACCTCCATCTCCACTTTGTAAAACAAGCTAGCTCGCTAACATCTAACATCCCACACAGTTCCCAACAGAGACGTTCATCTTCCTCTCGAGCTTGTTTGATAATCAATAAATTGTTTACATTGTTAAGCAAATATGTGAAGTGCTTCAGACAGTCGAAGTGTCAGCTGGTGTTTAAACACTGACGGCAGTAAAACTTGCACCAGCACTTAATCCTCATGTGGTGTGAACTGGTTTGCTTTGAGAGGCTCAGTTTGATTTAATGTGGCGACCTTAATATTATAATTGTTTTATGGGGGGTTATTTCTACAATCTGTCTCTATCGTCTCCTCAGCACCCCTGAGTGTGTGAGTGTGTTGGATTTCCTGCAGCCTCTTGTGTTGTCATGTGACTGCAGACTCTTCTCACGATTTAAACCGCTGACCTCCGTCAACAAAAACTGCTGTAGTTTCTCCTGATTCATACTGAGGCTGCAGATTAACCGTAAAACCTGTGATAGATGAGCAGCAACACACAGATTGAGACTGTAGACAGACAACATGCATCAAAAAGCAAACACAGACTTTGACTGTAAGATGATGCAACATCAGACCGCTCCTACGATGGCTGTTCTCACCTGAAAACCTGAAAACTTGAACACCGTCCAAGCTACTTTAACTCATCTATTTATAGACGAATCAAACTCGCATGTGTCACCTGGCGCCTGCTGGTCCACACGTTCCCGCCTCCGTGTTGGAGGACGGCCAAAGATGTGAATGGACATGTAATTACATTTGACCTTATCGGAGGATAAGAACACACAGGTGGTCTTAAAGGACCAGAACAGAAGCCGTTTTGTTCATTTACAGATGGATGATAAATGAAAGTAGAACCCAACCTGGGTTCAGAGCAGCTTCAGTTCTCCATAGATTCTCCAAACCTGCAGAACTGTACAGGAGGGACAAACTCTGAGCTGAAATTCAGTGTAAAAAGTGTGTTTATTACAAACTTGACACGTCTGCAAGTCACTTGTGGTCCATTCAGAATGGACATGTGACCCACCAGTTGGGAACCACTGTCTTCATGTAACCACCTCAGGGACCACTTAAACCTCTTAAAGGACCCCACAACTATTCTTAATGTCTCATAGAACCTACCTAATGACCACGGCATGGTGAAGGACCCCCAGAACATCCTACAGGTCCCCTAGAACCTCAGAAATAACCACTACACTTTCCTAAAGGACCACTAGAACCTCTATGGTGACTATTAGAACAACTTAATGTTCCCCTAAATCTCCTACAAGACCACCGGAACCCCTATAAAGACTGCTGGAGCCTTAAAAATGTCCTAAAGTATTCTAGAACCACCTTAGGGGCCACTGAAACCTCTTAAAGGGCCCCAAGACTTAATGTCTTAATGTCCCATAGAACCTCCTTAATGACTAAGGCATTTTGAAGAGCCCTCTAAGATTATTTTAGATTCTCTAAAAAATGTAGGGGGCGTTGTTGTGAAGGGTTCAGGCTTTATCATTAGTATGTTGTTTATAATGAACACTGCAGCGTCAAGGGAACAACAGCAAGACTTTAGACTGATAGTCTATATTTTGATTTTTATTGCTTAGTGATCATCACTGTGGTGTTTCATTGCTGCACTTTATCTCACTTGGAAACTGAACAGATATAATGAGCATATTTCCTCACGCTTACTTTGCTTTAACACTGCAAACATGGCTGTCTGTAGTGTTTGACTTGCTCTCTGCCTGTGATGAATAACACATGAGGTCTTTGGTTTCTGATTGTAGCAGTGAACCAGTTTGTCTGAGGACACTAGTTGACCTGCATAGAAGATTCACAGAGAACTGTTGGAGTGTTAAGGGTCAAACTTTATCAACAGCCACGAGGTTTATGGCTAATAGGGTGGAAAACCTCATGAGGTCACACTTCAGAACAAAAAAGTAACATTTATTGTTTGTAAATGTTGAAGAGACAATTCTGATTTATTATCAAGAACTGCTGATGATATCTGGAACCAATTTAGTAGAAGACTTTCCTGTTGATGTTCATAGCTAGAGAAAGGCTAATATATAGTTTAACTGTATTTTAGAGGCATTTACTTTGAACCAGTAACTTATTAAAATAAGTTCATTTTCCATGCAAAGCCCTGCATCAGAGCACACAACGCAAACCTGTATGTGTTTGAATGTCTGTTTGAGTGTGTGGTGGAGACTATCCAGCTGAGGGACCTTAGGAATAAGGACTACCTGGACCTGGGTAGGAAGAAGGAGATACTTTTCTGTAACTGCACTTCACTTTCCAAGTGATCTTGTTTCTTTCTGCCATCTGCATTTTGTTTTGTCTTGTTTTTGATTATAGGGGAAGGCTGTGTGTCATGAAAATGGGGTTGTGAGATCTTGAAGAAGGTTTAGACATTCTCTGCTTTTCAGTTGCTTATGAATGTCTGTAGATGATAAACCGCCATAGTAACGTTTGTCTCTGTCTCTGCTTCCTGTTGCAGATTGAAGAGATGATGAGCAAATGGAGGACAGATCTGGGAGTCCAGTTGGACCTCTGACACCCATCAAACAGATTGGCACTTTCCTGGGTACCAGGAGGCTGACAGACCCTTTGCACAAATAGCAAAGGTCCAAAGACAAAGAAAGATCGGGTGTTCGGGTGCCAGCATGTCCCAGGCAGGCAAAGTCCTCCACCTGTACGTTGAGGTGAGGTCGGTCACCGAGGAGGAAGGAAAGGTGCAGGGACGAGGAGATGATGGGACCGCTCACCTGATGCTTCAGTGCCCAGACGTCCTCCCTCACTCCCAGAGAAGCTCCAGCCCCAACCGCAGTCAGAATCCTTCTCCAGTTCCTCAACACCAAAGTGGGGTCGGAAGCCACAGCTTACCCCCATCAAAGTCTTCCTCCAGGCACTCAGTCAGCTTCCAACTCCAAAACCCTGATGCCACAGGATCCCCCACCCAGTTCCAGCGGCAGGATGTATTTCATGACAGTTTCAGTCAATTCCTCCAGGTGCTTGCACCTGGATCGACTGGTCCAGGCCAGCATGACTCATTGGGACGCACCTGCTCCTCTGACATGAATCCCTTCCAGGGAAGAGTGCTTATCTCCCCATCTTCTACATCTTCTGGGACGCTGACTGTTCCCTCCACAAATACCAGCAACCGTAGGTCCTATGAAGGCCCAAGGGTGGAGGGTGAGGAGGGGAAGACATCTGTAGTGACTTTTGGCTACATAGAGAAATCTAATGTTCACAGCATGGGGGGTCGGCGTAGCTCTATGTGCCAAAGTGAGTTGGACAATACTTTTAACAGACTGGAGAGGCAGCAGCTGCCTGGCCACCTCCGAAAGAGGTTGAGTGACCCAGTGTGGTACAATGGGCAGCCAGAGCAGGGCGACCCTTACTCCAGTCACTCATACCCATCTCAGACTCAGTCCCCACAGGGCTCGCCTTACCTGCAGAGGGCTGTGGCAGATGCAGTTGCCAGAGATGCCACCTACAGGGCCTTGGAGGAGTTTGGATCCCCAGAGCTTAGGCGCAGATTTGCTGGCCACAGCCCAGAGAATTGCAGCCCAACCCTACCACGGCACTACCAGTCCCCTCGCTGCCGGTCCTGGGGGGGTTCACCTGTCCTGCCCCGCAATACCCACACCCTGCCATCCAAGGCTCAGCTTCTGGAGATGGACAGGGGAATCTGCCGTAGTTCAGTGAATGGATTACCCAGAAGTCCTGCCTCTGACCACCTGTGTGCCCACATTGGGTACTCCTCCCAGTCACCAGCCCCAATCCTTCGCTCTCATGGCCCACCCCAGAGCCAACAAAGGCCATGGATGGGGGACGAGAGCCCCAAGTTGTCCAGCAAATTTCATCCACCTTTACCAGCAGGGAGACCCACAGACATCCAGCATGAGATTCCAACTAGCATGTTCCCTACCAGCAACCATTCCAGTTCCGGCTACCAAGTTAGTGGGAACCCCCAACACAGTGTTAATAGTAGCTACAGTGCTAACATCACCAACACCAGTCATAATGCTACAGACAGTATACACTTCAGTACTAATGAGAACTTATCCAGCAAGTCTCACTACAAATCGTCACGCTGCAGTAGCAGAGCCAGTGACACAGCCAGCCCCACCAATGGCAGGAGGAGCATCTCCCCATCCCCAAATGCTGAAGTGGCTTCTAGGTTAGCTGCAGAGGCTACCAAACTGTCCACCATTTTTGCCGAAAGGAGGACTCCCTCTCCAACACCTTCTCAAGCTGAGTCACTGCGGTCAGAGAGTCCCAGGATGGGAGGGTCGTTCCTGAGAGAATCCCAACCTTATGCCACTCTTCATGGGCGAAGCTCCCCTGAGCCTGTGCAGGCCGACAGCCAGAACCACAGATGGAAACCAGACAAAGCAATACCTCAGACCAGACCAGGACGTATCTCACCTCTCTTACCCCACAAAGGCCTGTCTTCACCAGCATCTCCAGCCCTGCCAGCCAGGTTGCACCGTGCAGCCGCCTGTCAATCACCAGTCTTGGACCCACGGCATCAACGGGGTTCATCACCCACTAAGGATGTGTCAGCCCTGCACCGCTACCAGCAGCCACAGTACACTGGAGACCACAGATCGCCTGGCATGGAGCGGAAGCAACATGATCACCTCTTTGACAGATCACTTAGGGACAGCCCTGAACTCTCCAGGAGACTTCTCTCCAGCCAGAACACAGAAGCACTGCCTGTGAGCTGGACCTCCAGGCACCAGCAGTGGAGGGAAGCTGGACCAGTCCAGGATGGGGACGAACTCTGTGAAGACAACTACAGACAGTCCACCTCAAGAGTTTACACTCCAAGCAAAGAGGAGTACCACAGGAAGGTCGGAGGAGACAAAATGCTAAAGACATCAGTACAGGAGTACCACACACCGGTTATAAGTGTGTCCAAGGATGAGAGGGAGGAGGTTCAGGATCACAGCGGGGCTGCTGGGATGTCCTCTCAAAGCTCCAGTGGAGTAACAGGCAGCATGGGAGACAGTTCGCAGCTGGACAGAAACGACAGTCTGTCCCCCGAAACCTCGAGCCAGTCCAGCCACGATACGACAGACACCGGCTCGGGGTTACAGGTCGGCTGGGTGGGAGGGTGGTGAGGGTTTGGCTGTACGTTGTGTGTATGTGTCGGGTCTGTGTGGAGGGGGAGGTTCTCTGTCGATGACTTATTGTCACACTTACTTCAATAACAATAAATAACTGAAATCCAAAGTTCTTTTCCAGCAGACGAAGTTTCTGTTTTTTTTATCATCAACATCATCAGAGTATCTAATTAGTATTCAACAACTACATCTCCCATGAGCCTTTGCAGCACTTCTGGGACTAACAGATGTGTTGATTTATGCTAACAAAACATTTTGTCTTCAGCTTCCAGGCGGCTGGATGCATCACTTTGTATTTTTTCTCAACAAAGTAGTGATTGTTATTTTATCAGTATCACTTCTGATTTTAAAGTGATGTTACATGGTTTTTGATGTTGTTTTGAAATATTCCTGCCTCTAGAGGACGACTTCACCTGCAAAATGATCATTTTTATATGAAATACTTTTCATGTGTCATGTTGAATTTGTGAAGGAATTTTTTTCCTCAAATCTCCATGACAGACGAGGACTCCAAAAAGGCTAACATTCTTCATCAGCTGAAGTAAACGAGCTCCATGTTAAACTACAGTACAGGCCAAAAGTTTGGACACACCTTCTCATTCAATGCGTTTTCTTTATTTTCATGACTGTTTACATTGTAGATTCTCACTGAAGGCATCAAAACTATGAATGAACACATGTGGAGTTATGTACTTAACAAAAAAAGGTGAAATAACTGAAAACATGTTTTATATTCTAGTTTCTTCAAAATAGCCACCCTTTGCTCTGATTACTGCTTTGCACACTCTTGGCATTCTCTCCATGAGCTTCAAGAGGTAGTCACCTGAAATGGTTTTCCAACAGTCTTGAAGGAGTTCCCAGAGGTGTTTAGCACTTGTTGGCCCCTTTGCCTTCACTCTGAGGTCCAGCTCACCCCAAACCATCTGGATTGGGTTCAGGTCCGGTGACTGTGGAGGCCAGGTCATCTGCCGCAGCACTCCATCACTCTCCTTCTTGGTCAAATAGCCCTTACACAGCCTGGAGGTGTGTTTGGGGTCATTGTCCTGTTGAAAAATAAATGATCGTCCAACTAAACGCAAACCGGATGGGATGGCATGTCGCTGCAGGATGCTGTGGTAGCCATGCTGGTTCAGTGTGCCTTCAATTTTGAATAAATCCCCAACAGTGTCACCAGCAAAACACCCCCACACCATCACACCTCCTCCTCCATGCTTCACAGTGGGAACCAGGCATGTGGAATCCATCCGTTCACCTTTTCTGCGTCTCACAAAGACACGGCGGTTGCAACCAAAGATCTCAAATTTGGACTCATCAGACCAAAGCACAGATTTCCACTGGTCTAATGTCCATTCCTTGTGTTTCTTGGCCCAAACAAATCTCTTCTGCTTGTTGCCTCTCCTTAGCAGTGGTTTCCTAGCAGCTATTTGACCATGAAGGCCTGATTGGCGCAGTCTCCTCTTAACAGTTGTTCTAGAGATGGGTCTGCTGCTAGAACTCTGTGTGGCATTCATCTGGTCTCTGATCTGAGCTGCTGTTAACTTGCAATTTCTGAGGCTGGTGACTCGGATGAACTTATCCTCAGAAGCAGAGGTGACTCTTGGTCTTCCTTTCCTGGGTCGGTCCTCATGTGTGCCAGTTTCGTTGTAGCGCTTGATGGTTTTTGCGACTCCACTTGGGGACACATTTAAAGTTTTTGCAATTTTCCGGACTGACTGACCTTCATTTCTTAAAGTAATGATGGCCACTGGTTTTTCTTTAGTTAGCTGATTGGTTCTTGCCATAATATGAATTTTAACAGTTGTCCAATAGGGCTGTCGGCTGTGTATTAACCTGACTTCTGCACAACACAACTGATGGTCCCAACCCCATTGATAAAGCAAGAAATTCCACTAATTAACCCTGATAAGGCACACCTGTGAAGTGGAAACCATTTCAGGTGACTACCTCTTGAAGCTCATGGAGAGAATGCCAAGAGTGAGCAAAGCAGTAATCAGAGCAAAGGGTGGCTATTTTGAAGAAACTAGAATATAAAACATGTTTTCAGTTATTTCACCTTTTTTTGTTAAGTACATAACTCCACATGTGTTCATTCATAGTTTTGATGCCTTCAGTGAGAATCTACAATGTAAATAGTCATGAAAATAAAGAAAACGCATTGAATGAGAAGGTGTGTCCAAACTTTTGGCCTGTACTGTACATTAAAACATCCCTTTACAAATTCTCACACAACTCATGAAGAATAATCCAAGTCTCATTCAGCTGGACGCTCAGTACTTCACAAACATATGACTCTTCACTAAAAACGTCAACACTTCATTACAAACGGTCTGTGAAACCAGGGGTCCACACTCCCACGTCCCCACCCCTGCCTGCTGCCCGGCACACAATTCACCGGGCTCAGATGCCTATCCCTGCAGGTGGTGGGCCCACAGGGTGGTGGTTGAGGTGGTTCAACATCTGATCAGGATCCTCCTGGGCGCCTCCTGTTAGATGCGTTTCCGGGACGTCCAGCTGGTAGGAGGCCCCGGGGCAGACCCAGAAGACACTGGAGGGATTACATATCTCGTCTGGTCTGGGAACACCTTGGGGTCCTCCAGGAGGAGCTGGAAAGCATCGCTGAGGAGAGGGATGTCTGGAAAACTCTGATCAGCCTGCTGCCCCCGAGACCCGGCTAGGCGGGAGTGTTTTAAATTGTAGTATTTCAGTGAAAGTGCGTTTGTTTGTGTAGTACTTAACGTCCAACTGGATAAATGAGACCTGGATTATTCTGCACGAGTTGTCTGAGAGTTTGTATCCAGATGTTTTGATATAGTTTTGCTGTTGTTAATTGTTCAACTAATCATTTTTGGATTATTCGTTCAGCATTAAGTCATGCGAGGAAAACGTTTTTCTTCACAAACTCGAGGTGACAGGTGGGTAGTAGTTGAAAAACAAATGGTCGTTTTGCAGGGAAGTATTCTTTAAAAGCATTGGTGTATGTCACCCTGCATTTTGTACTTTCTTCTGCAGCTCGGACATTTTAAAAGTTCAATTATAATTTATTTTAATTCTGCTTTAAAACTGAACGTGCATGTGCTTCAAACCTCTCACTAATACAACCTGAAGAATCAGTTGGATTTAGTTTGCTAGAATTCAGAAGAGGTCAAACACCAAAACACACGAGCACTGATAGCTATGATTTCTGGTTATAGATTATTTCTGTCAGAGACGCATTATTTCATCACACCGCTGTCTCTCCTCCTCACGCAGTCTGACGGCGGCTCAACGACAACTCCATCCTCGCGGTCGCAGAAGATCGCCCGTGCCAAGTGGGAGTTCCTGTTCGGAGGTCAGACGGAGGAGAGTCGCTGCAGTAAAGGTAAAGGTAATTTATTTTTAAAGTTTTTTATGCCTCTGCGCCGGCGACATCTGTGGTCACGGAGGGATTATGTTTTCAGATTGTCCGTCCATCTGTACATACGAACGTCCCAAAGTTGTAAACACAATATCTCAAGAATGCCTCATGGGAATTTCTTCAAATTTGGCACAAAGGTCCACTTGGACTCAACAATGATCTGATCAGGTTTTGGTGATCATAGGTCAAAAGTCAAAGTCCCTACAACCTTGTCTGTCTCATTCTCGTGAACGTGATATCTCAAGAACACTATGAGAGAACGTCTTCCAATTTGGCAGAAATGTTGACCTGGACTCAGCGTTGAACTGATTGGATTTCAATGAAAAAAAATAGGAAAAAGAATAATTAGAAGCAAAAGAAGAGTAAAAACACATCAGTAAAGTCCCAACTTTATTTCGATGTACATTTTGACTGTTCAATAACATTTTTCGTGAGACATACCCTCACAGCCTGATGAAATCAGCTCCAGTACTCTGCCATCAGGATCCACCTGTGTTAATGCCAACTGATTTGAAACTGGATGCTATTTAACACTATTTCTATAAAGGTAAATATTGTTCCAATGATTGTTCATCCAAGTCAGTGATCCTGGAATTACAGATGGTTAGGTTTTGTCTAATTTGATTATTTTTTTGCTGGAGGGACGAATTTCACTTTGAGTGGAGGCAGTTGGACTTTTCAACCATTTATCCTTTAAAACAGCCTTTTCAACCCCTCTGAGCTCTCGCTAACCAGTGTCAGGTTGGACATAAGTGTTTTTTGGACTTCTATAACTTCACTCCTCCCTGTACAGAAAAATGTAATTTTAAAAATCCATCAGTGTTGTATTCCCAAACAGTGTCACACCTTCACACTGGGAGTACAGCAGCAGTATCAGTATGGTATTATTAGCAGTAGTAGCGGCAGTAAAAGGTTAAAGGGCCATTCTGTCTTTTCTCTTGTGTTGTTTCTTTACTCAGTGAAGTAAACAAGCAGCTTCAGGAGCTTCTTCTAAGCCAATTAGCTGAAGCTTAACATCAGCTGGAACAGGTCTTACTGTACACAAAGCTACTCACAAGTATTACTACATTACTACCACTACTCACTTCCTGTTCTTTATTTAGCATCTTTGTCAGACTTTAAAACAAGCGAAGCAGGGTTTTGTTTTAATTAAACAAAGTCATCAATGTCTGCTGGCTGTGGAGACTCGAGGTCTTATTGTACTCTGATATCTGTGTCTTGATTCATACTTGTGTTGAATATCTAAGGTAGCACTACTACATATAACTAACCACATGATCCTCATTACTTTAAGCTTCAGTTAACAGTTTATTAATTTATCTTTAAGAAAAGACAAAAGGAGAGACAAACTGATTAAATAGTTAAAACTGCTCCACAATCATCACAGCAAGAAACTCAGCTGAAAAAATAATCAATATGCAGATTTAATTTTGTTGTTTGTTGTCAGTGTTTTAAGAGTCACCTCATCACTATAATCCAGAACAGATACAAAAACAAACATCTTCTCCTGCTTATTTTAAAACAACAATAAAAATCTAGTTTTGATAAACATTTTTTCTGAAATTTCAAAAATACTTTTCAGATATTTAATTAACATTTTTCAGACATATCAATTTTTTTCAACATTTT